AAATTTATCGGGAATTATGCCAGGAATCACTAAGCGAGAAAAAACTGATTATTTACGTCAGATAATAGCGAGAAAACTTCCAAATTAACGGAGCGCGAAACAAGTCGACCGTACTTTTTGCTAGGACGCAGTGAGATGGGTTTTCGTTTCTTGCCGTCATTCAAACGAGGATTAACCGGCTCGTTCTTCTGATTGCATTTGTCCGGAGAATTTCGCCTCGAGCTACGACTCAGCCTTGTCTGCTGACGTTGACAGTCTTGCTGGAGCGTTTCAAACACTCGCAAACGCTGAACATCCTGCACCTCAACCCTAACATCTGAAATTGACGGGGGTTTTACATTTTCCTTGTTGCTTCCAATCGAGCTGGTGTTGTCCAACATCTGACATCGGATATTGCGGTGCTTTTCGATTGCATCTCGATTATCACGTAATCGAGGAGATTGATCCTCCATGTTATGAGCGTTCAGGCTGTTGGCAGGTCCCGAAACAATCGAATCCAGTAAGGACACATTCAATAATCCATCGAGATTGGTTGTGCAGGGTTGCTCCGAATCTTCTATACGGTCGGCATTCGTCCGAACTTCCGGTAGAACGTCGTCCGTGAGATAACTGCAGTCGAATGACGGCAGAATCGTGAAGGTAAGGCATCCTATCTTGTCTACAGTTAACACCTCCGGTTCGACGGTGATTTTTGTGTACTCGATCGAAAGCAGACAAGAATTGCGTCTGAAACGAAAATAATTAAGAATTTAAATAATCATTTTGTTTCTCGATCCGGCGAATCTCGTTCATGTCGAGGAAGTGAAACTGCGATCGAATTGTGTCCATTTAAACAAATTTTAGCATTTTTATAATTGAAAGCTTTAAGTTAAAAAGTTTTTTTTTACGAAAAGTCACAATTAACTTTTCCATGCTACTGTGCTACCATGAGGAGAGGGTTAACCATTACCGACAACACAAGCGTTTTCATTATCTCTGCCTCATTAGACTAAACTTTTTTTTTTCAACTATAGGTATAGGTACTCACTCTTTTTTCAGATCGATTCTGGAAACGTCCCTGTGGCAAATCTCCAGATAAACCGTCATCTCCAAAGAGTCTTTCTCGCGAATAAGGGTGACGCGGGCGCTAAACCTTATGGTTGCTGGTTGAAAGTTAACATCCAACCATAGACCGTTCGAATCTTCCGGTTTCACGAATTGATACAATCCGATTTGAGCATCTTCGACAGGAACCGAATACGCCGCAAACAGAGGGAACTTGTCCTGCATTCCATTGATAAAAGCTCGACATTCCTAGACAAATCAGAACATAATTAGATACCTACTAACCTATTTGAAAGTTTAAAAAATATAACATTGAAGCAACATTTACCTGCTCCAATGCAAACGACTGCCAATCGAGAACCTGTTCTAAAGGGCCGCCAATATGTCGTCCCAGATCGAGTACGAATTCCTTACGCTCATTCTGTTTGCTGAACGAGAGTGACGCGGAGTGCGCCAATTCCACCAACTGCAGTTGTATTTTAAAGTATCCGAATCGCCTGAATTGAGAAAGCAATTTTTTGCTACAATAAAAAAAAAAACGAATTTATAAACATTAACATCGATCATTGCTGCTACTGCAGTCCATACAAGTGATTCCCACAATATTGAATGACTTGCAACGTTTCCTTGCAAGAGATCCTTTCAAAAATCTCCAGCAAGCCTTGCAGTGCAATCACCACTGTTTGATACGGCGCAGCCGTAATGCAGCAAATCACGCAGAGAGTTTTCACAATCTTCCCTAGCGCATCCGTTTCCAGTGGTTTGTCCCGGCGATCGTTCAGAAATATCTTCGAAACAGCAAAACAAAATTAACCATCAAAATAACATACAATGAGTGGCGAGAGGAATGTCAATCTTACCACAACACACCGCAAATGTTCGGCAAAGGACGCCTCAAAGTGCCGTCCTATTTGGACCAGTTTCACAAAATGGGACAGATAGCGCTTCAGCAGCCGGAATTTTTCCTCCGGATCTTGATGCTGACGCAGCAGAGCCAGGCGTTTGCGCAGCCGCGCGTTCAGCTGATCGTAGTCAACATTTGCCATTTTTTATTTCACGATGTTGAATCTTAATTTATAAATAAAGCACAAACGGTTGTCGAATTCACAATATTACAACAGTAATTATTTATCACACAAATCTAATAACTAAAACGCGAAAAAATGGAAGGAAGTGGATTATTTTCCGACTAAAAGCACGTGAAGCGTGATTTTGAAAAGAATGTTTCTGGGCTTGCTTTGATTTTCAGCTGATGATGAAATAATTTTATTTAAACACGAAACATTCTAGCGGTATCGGAATCAGTAGTCGAGCAAGGATTTGCCCCAAAGCTACACTGAGTCAACAATGGGATGGATTCACATTTATCGTTGGCCCTCTAGCTGTGAAAAAGTGTAACACTCACGCGACAAGTCGCGCATAATAGCTTAAATATTATTTTTCGTAGCTATGAAACTATGTGATAGATACAAGAAACGGATATAAAATGTGTGTATGACACATAAAACCTGTCAATTTCACTTTCAGAGGGTCACAATTAGCGATTTTATGATCGCTGATTGCTCACTCAGCGTAAGTGCTCAGCGATCATAAAATCGCTAATTGTGACCTTCTGAAAGTGAAATTGACAGGTTTTATAAGTCAGACAGAAAATTTGCAAACTCTTCTTGTATCTTACAAAAACAAATAATCATTATAACATTAAAAATAGTATTTTAACTGAAATGAGCATTTCCAAGCTTGGTTGGAGACATGAATATTCCAATAAATTTAGCTGATAGTAATAAAAGTTTATTAGATTCGTATGATTATTTTACAGTGAACTCTCTACAACTCGATATTAAAGGGACCATCGAGTTATAAAACAACAATCCAATAGGAAATCAACATCGTGGTAGCCATGACCGGCAGGTGACAAAGGTTGCATTTTCCCAAATATATCATATTAACAATTTGATCCATTCATGCCTTTTCCAAATATTGCAATGGCGACCCGCAAAATATTGCTTCACACACCATCTAGCGTTGAAAAAGGTCAGCAACAATCATTCAATCACAATCGAGGGGTGCGAATATAGCACTTATTACAAAAGTAAGAGTCATATTATTTTTATTAATTACATTGTGTATATTACTTTAAAATTTGCCTGACATGCCACTGTTGTCATCAAATAAAATAATATGCTGAAATACATTCATTTGAAATATTAAACTAATTTTCATTTGGTTTACCCCTCGTGACGATAAACAAATACATTGGTAGCCTTTTTGGCCACAGAGGTGCTTTCATCGCTAAAAATTTGGTTCGCCAGCTATGCAAAAGAGTGGATCATATTGTTAATACATATAATATATTTGATTTTCCACTAAATAAATCCTGAGGGAAGGAAAAATTTCTGAATTAAATAAGTTTTTTTTATCAAACAGCAGATCGACAAATTTCTGTCCAAAAATCGTATGATCGATAATAACAACATTATACAGGAATGTTCGAATATCATTTAGATAATTTTTTTGTTCAGGCAGACATTTTGAAGATGTTTTACGTTTTGTGAAGATATTCTTTCTTTTTTTTATTAGAGAGATTTTTAACCGTTGACTAGTTCATCTCTATAAAGAGGGGGCCCAGAGGGGGGTTCTTCGTGGAAATGTTGTTACGGAGTTGGCTTACACTTCACATGTACTCAAAGAGAAACGATTAAAATAGATTCCAGTAAATGACTAACAATACAGGCAACGAAAATAATGCAATATGGGTAGGATTCTGAACGAGATCAGAGCTCCACCGTAGGAGGAGTAAGCCACCGTCTGGCAGAGATGTCCCGAAAGTAAAAAAAATTAAAAGGACCTAAATGTTGTTGTATAGTCCAGCGTCCTTAAGGAAGTAAAGAACTGTCGCTAAAGTGAAAGGTTCGTCGCCCAGGATGTCCCTAATGCTGTTGGGAAGTGCATATTGCTCCCGCAGATGTTGCTATCATAGAGGTAACTCTAAGATCAGAAGGTCCCGAAGAAACGAGCTCAACTTTTTGGCTCAGCTCTGGTACTATCTTCGGTCCCAAGCTAATCGATGCACCCCTCGAAACATAGGAAAACCCACGAACCCCTCATTTTATCCGTCAAACTTTCATAGCGAATCAAAACAAACATAGGGTAGTACTGGAATTTCGACTAGAATGGGGTACGTTAATTGATTTGCTTGGGTCCAATAGGCTAGTCAAGTAGTGAGCCAATTAAAAATCGTTAGTAGGGTAGGTTCAGTTTTGACCGATCTGGGTGGATTCTACCCAAATTTGGGTAGTTTTGAAATAGCTTGTAACTTTATTTGTATCCGTCACATTTATCGCGTAACATTTGAAAAATGCCTATCCTCGTTGATTGATTCTCTTCGTTGACTTTCTCCTTGGTTTACAACGGCACCATACACGAATTTCTTGCTATGCTCGCAGCACAGCTCGACAGAAGATGACGTTAGCTTGTGCCTTGAGCAACACACTGAATGGGAAAATCATTTGCAGTCGGGTTATTCGCGAAAGAGAAAATCGATGAAGAGAATCGATCAACAATTATAGGCCCTTTTCTCGTGTTGCGCGAGATTTGTTAGTATGTTAATTTGTTCTGAAGGGAAGGCGTGGTGCAGCAGTGGTGTTATAAAATTTTGATTGCAGGTGCACCAATTAAATTAATTTAGAAAACTGCGGACTTAGCTTGAATCTATGGAACTTGAATACACCTAGAAAGCTACTTTAATGTGTAGAGAATTAATGTAATTTTTTTTACAATTATAAGTCTGCAATGATTTAAATTCTAATACGCGTCTATGTTTACAGGAACAGCAACAGAAGACGCATCATCAACTCAAGATAATATCTACAGATCTCGCACAGCTACAAACCTGGATGACAGTTCTTCGATTTTCCTTCAGCAAATTCAAGCACCTCCCAGGATCGTTGCCGTTGTTCCAAGTTGCAGCAACATACCTATTCCACAACTGGTCCCGTCACAAGGAATAACAGTTTCCATATTGGACCAAGAGATCGAAACACATGAGGACCATATGCACAGTAGTGAGATTCAATCGGACAGTATTGTTGTCGCTCACGAGGAACATGTGCAAGAGACGGCTGAACATGACGAAAATCATAATCCAAACAGTACTGAGAAAAGGTCACTGGAAGATGTTAAACTTCTGATGAGTTCCAAGAAACATGCTTCATGTGAATTGAAGTTTCAATCGTTTCAAGTGAACTGGAATAAACTCAGCGATAATATCCTCAGTCGTCTGCAAAGCTTGCAAAATTTCCGCAACGAAAGTCCTACTCAGTGCGTGCCTAGATCTCTCCAACTTACAAAAGCTGATTTGACGGGGGTTGCCAACTCGGTAGTGGATCAATTACGAACAATCGACACACATATTCGAGCGGATATCCTTGAAGGAGTAGCGAAACAAGTACTCAATATGTTCCCGTGCCTTAACTTTGTGGACGATGATGGTTTTGGATCTGGGACAGGACATGTGTGGCTGAAACATAAAATGATTAATCGGAATTCATATCTCAACAGATACAAAGAGCCGTATGTTCCGAAAGCGGATACAATGGAAATTCGAAGAAACAGGAATGTGCGAGCAGGAACGATTAAAGAGTACTGGGAAGAGACGAATAACGAATGCACTAAAGAAGTTATTTCGAAACTCTCACGGGATGAACCAGGACTACTAACTCCCGAATTTCTGCAAGCTTCGCAATCATATGTTCGTTACCGGTTTGATGAGAAAATTCCATTGAAAGATGTATTAGGGAATCTTCCCGTGCTTAGAAGAAGAATTCTTTTGAAGTATCATTTCGAGTGTGCCACGGGTGTATCAGCGGATTCGTTGGAGCAATACTTCACTGCTAAGCGTTCCAAAATTATTGATTTTTCGAAGACTAGCCGCAAGATCAGTCCTTTGGATTCCACAGCTCCGGACTACAATATTTTTAAATTCTTGTGCAGCTTGTTGGGAGATAAAATTGAGGATGTAATCGTTTTGAAAGAGGTGAAAAAAACACGAAAATGCAATAACGACAAAATAATTAAATATTTTAAATGTTTATATTGTAGATTGGTACGAAGATTGACGGTATCACCATAGATTGTTCTGGGCCTGTTCTCGTCGCCATAGGTAAGTAAAAGCTACTTAGTTTTGAAGCAAAATCGAAAAAGCGTGTTAAAATGGTAAAAATGATTATGTATTAGAGGTCATGCTAAAGGTTTAAAGTTTGTATGATGATCGATTACAATGGATTTTTTTTTTATTTCAATAATGTCGTTCTACCTTAAGTTTAGTTATCTTAATGCTATCAAATTTTAAAATGTGATGCTTATATATACAACACCCATTGGAATACATCAAAGGCCAACGACATAGTAAAGAGCGTTACGTCGGGTGAATCGTGAAATCGAATGTAAAGAATAATATCAATAAAAAAGTGCTTCTGTATTACACGCTTCACGCGACGCAATGCACTCTACTATGTCGTGGTTATTATTAATCATCATGCATTCAGGATTTAGCTAGCTATAATCTCGCTTCATTCTGTACTGCCCATAAAGGCATGAAGATAGGAAAGTTATACTTTTATGGGCTTTTAAACTTGGCACAGCTGTTGAGGACCTTAATACAAACAAAATAACAATAGGAAAACATGGGTTAGGACCGTTCATACAAATTTGACCATGGCCATTCTAATATATTATACAATAAGTTTCTAATATAAAACAATACAATGCTATTTTCAGACTGTGGAAACAACAAACGAATGTACTACGTTTTTGCAGAGCAAGTACGCCTGAGCGAAGGAACAACAAATGTGGTTGCCGCTGTTGCGGATTTGATATGCATTCATTATGTTCATAACTTTATGTATATGAAGCAAATGTCTAAGTTCTTGGAATTTGTTCAGGAATACTTTTTTAAAATCTTGCCTGCCACTGGATCAAAATCCAACGCCACTCGTAAAGGACAACAACAAAGAGTTGTAAAACGAGTAATCGAAGCCATTGCTAACCATTCTCCTATGCAATAGTAATCTATGCTTACCAAAATTTCTATATGATTGGAGCAAGAAACATATGATATGAAGAGCAAAAAGTTATGTTAATTTTATGATTAAGAGATATTTTAGAGATATTTTAGTGCTAAGGTATAAAAACCATAAATGCTGTCGTAGACAAATCAGTTGCGCAAATAAAAACACGTTTTAAAACTAAAAAAGACCTCTTTCTCTATAAAAGATCATTGGTTACAGAACTTAATGACAAATTCCATATTTTTTATGTACAGCCCAAGGCTGAAAGCCTCTTTAATAAAGCTAAATAATAATAATATTTTTTATGTACCGGTGTTTTCCATTTTGGAATATTTTTCATAACATTAGTTTACATGAGTTGATTTATAAGGTAAAAGTAATGTTAGCAAAAAATCGACTAATAAAAACTTCAACATTCTAAAGCTAAAGTATGTTTATTCAAAAAATAGTTTGACACCTTAATTCTGTGCTTATTTTGTATATGTATTTGAATATCTGAAGTCCCTTTTACTGTTCGTCTTAATTTTTATTTTAGGACTACTGAATTCAAGCGCAACATGTTAAAAAGTCAATCAACCATACGTAAACAATGACAATGAATGTCAATTTTTCACGGATTACAACTCATTCAGGCAAGCCGACATCAGCATCTGATAAACGAAATTTACTTTACCAGATCCTGCTGTCGATTTTTCTGAATGAGCTTTAATCCACGAATCATGGACGTTCAAAGTCATTGTTCACATTGAATTCATTGCATCTTTTCACATGTTGTGCAGGAATTCAAAATTGCGGATTTGGTTAAATCTGTAATGTAAATCCCTTTTCCTATAGCCATTAGACGGAACATTCCGTAGGCATCTGAAAAATACGTCTCATTATAATTTTACATGTCAACAAACTTGAACGCGTAAAATTACAATTTTGCTTCATTTCACGACATGTAAAAATACTAGCGGACGTAATTGTGTGTCATTTGAGTCGCTTACATGTGTCGGTCTTAGGAGACTTAAAATTACATGAAGTTTTCGAAGTGTGTACATTACATGTTTGTTTACGTCTCATCTTTTATGTCAAATTTGGATTCCGTCACGTGTAAAATTAGTTATTTCTAAGTGTGAACATTAAAACAAAAAATCAGCGTCGTGAATTTGCGGAAGTCTCCATTTGTAAACGATGTGGTTTCGCATCATATTAGGTATGTTCCCGTACTTGCTTTTTTGCTTTTGCTGTATCTTGCTGCAGCCTTCTGTAAGTTGCTGTAAGAAAAAAAAAAATATGGTGCAGATAGTACGGGAACATACTTTTGGTTTTTGCTGTACAGAATCTTACACAAAAGCAAATACGCGAACTAGCCTATTGATTCAGTAGACCTATTTGAGTAGTTCCAGGCCAAAGCAAAAGTTTGACTTCAGACGCGACCTTCTCCGATTTGCATGAAACATTGCCTAACTGTTTGATATGGGCAATCATTCATATTTTTTTGCTAAAATTCGGGATATCTTACATTTTTAAATGAAATATTCGATTTTTTTCAATAAATTGTAGCACTAAAACGTCACTTATAATTGAGGTGACGACTGAGAAATAAAATTTTTTACCGTGACAAATTTTATTTTTTAATTTAGAGCAAAAGCTAAAAAAGGGTAAATATTTAAATAACATAAAAATGTTCAATGTTTTATGTAACGGATGTTCAATAAAAAATGAGAATTTTTTCAGTAATATAGCTAGTGAAAAAAAAAATCAACGGATTCATTATTTTTTATTAAAAACATAATATTTATTCTTCAAAAAACTACAAGGGACAGCCCAATGGGGTTGTACGCAATGATAACGTAGGACTACGTGGAATGATATAATAAATATTTTTGTAAACTGCAGCAGGAGCTTGTGTTTTGTGCACGCTTTTTTTTTTTTTTAACTCTTTATTTGTTCCAAATTCAAAATAAATTACATTTCATTTTTAACCTAGGTGCTCCAGTTACTACAGTAACTTACCAGCCTTAATTGTTATGATATATATCTAAGTGTTTTTACATTGTTCCTGTCTTGGCAATTCAGTATTTTAAATAGGTTTTTTAAACCTGCATGTCAGTATAACAATTGATATCTTAAAACTAAAAACTAAAACTAAATCTTATCTAAGTATAAAGGGAATTAATCGTTGCAATTGAGGATTGCAACGATTTTTGCCTGAAATTATTAATTATTTTGTTGGACATTTGTGCTAAAGTCTCAACATTCGAAATTCTATGTACTTCGGTTGTACTGTACCAGGGAGGCAACTTCAAAATCATTTTCAGAATTTTGTTCTGAATCCTTTGAAGTGCTTTTTTCCTGGTAGTGCAACAACTAGACCATATTGGCACAGCGTAAAGCATGGCCGGTCTAAAAACTTGTTTAAATATTAGAAGTTTATTCGTCAGGCAAAGTTTGGATTTCCTGTTAATAAGAGGATACAAACATTTTATATATTTGTTACATTTGGCTTGAATGCCCTCAATGTGATCTTTAAAAGTTAATTTATGGTCAAGTATTAATCCAAGATATTTCACTTGGTTTGACCAGGAAATTGGAACTCCGTTCATAGTGACTATGTGACTACTAATAGGTTTCAAAAAGGAAGCCCTGGGCTTATGTGGAAATATTATAAGTTGAGTTTTGGAAGCGTTGAGAGAAATCTTCCATTTTTGTAAATAAGAAGAGAAAATATCTAAACTTTTCTGCAGTCTGCTGCAAATAACACGAAGACTTCTTCCTTTAGCGGAAATGCCTGTGTCATCAGCGAACAAAGATTTGTGGCAACCCTGAGGCAAATCAGGGAGGTCCGAAGTGAAAATGTTATACAATATATATATATATATATATAGGCCCAAGAATGCTACCCTGAGGAACTCCTGTTCTAACAGGTAGTCGATTAGATTTGGAATTTTGATAATTTACCTGCAGAGTTCTGTCAGTTAAATAATTTTGAACTAATTTCATAATGTAAAGTGGAAAATTAAACTTTTTCAATTTAGCAATCAAACCTTCATGCCAAACACTGTCGAATGCTTTTTCTATGTCTAGAAGAGCAACTCCAGTTGAGTGGCCTTCAGATTTGTTTGAACGAATTAAATTGGTAACTCTCAAGAGTTGATGAGTAGTTGAATGCCCATGGCGAAATCCAAACTGCTCATCTGCAAAAATTGAGTTCGTATTGATGTGAAGCATCATTCTATTCAAAATTATTTTTTCAAAAAGTTTACTTATTGAAGAAAGCAAACTTATTGGACGGTAGCTAGAAGCTTCAGCTGGATTTTTATCCGGCTTCAAAATTGGAACAACTTTTGCATTTTTCCATTTATCAGGAAAGTATGCCAAATGGAAACATCTGTTAAATAATTTTACCAGGAAAGACAAGGTACTCTCTGGGAGTTTTTTGATGAGGATATAGAAAATTCCATCATCACCTGGAGCTTTCATATTTTGAATTTTTTTAGTTATAGACCTTACTTCGTCCAAATCAGTCCCCCAGGAATCATCAAAAATATTTTCCTGAGAGAAAATATTCCGAAAATCCCGAGCAACCTGATTCTCAATAGGACTAGTAAGACCCAAACTGAAATTATGGGAACTCTCGAATTGCTTAGCAAGTTTCTGAGCTTTTTCCAAATTTGTGATCAAAATTTTACCACCTTCTTTAAGCGCTGGAATTGGCTTTTGAGGTTTTTTCAAAATTTTTGTGAGTTTCCAAAAGGGTTTGGAACTCGGGTCTAATTTAGAAACATTATTTTCAAAAGTTTTGTTCCTCAGGGCAGAGAATCGCTTTTTAATTTGTTTTTGCAAATCCCGCCAGATAACTTTCATGGCAGGATCGCGTGTTCTTTGAAATTGTCTCCTACGGACATTTTTAAGACGGATCAAGAGCTGAAGATCATCGTCTATTATAATTGAATCGAATTTAACCTCGCATTTTGGTACTGAGGCAGCTCTTGCTTCAACTATAGAAGTAGTCAGAGATTCAAGAGCATAATTAATTTCATCTTTGGTTTGCAAAGGAATGTTTGGATCGAAGTTATATTCCATAAATGTTCGATATTGCTCCCAA